CTTTTGCTTCAACTTCCACAATAAATACATTCAGAAGATGCTTGAAGTCTTATTAAATAAAATGTTTAATTCCTGTATCAGTTTAACACTTAAAGGATGGTTTCATTCCAGATGTTCATTACAACTTCTCTAAGAGACAATTACAAACAAGGCAGGAAAGCTGTAAAAGATTAAAAGGATCAGATGGAGTTAAACAGTAATAATGACTTTCATTAATTTACAGATATAAATTTCCAGCGTCACAAATGATGGCACAGTCATTTTCTTTACATTTAATGGAGGAAAAAAAACATCTGACACTCATTTCTGCTCATTTTAGAAACAATATATTTAGTAGCTGTTTTTTTTTTTTTTTAGAAAAAATATTTCTATGAATGATATTTACACGTATTTCTATTAAAAGGGGAATTTCTCATGAAAGAATAATAAAAAATGATATCCTGTTTATTGAGGAATCCAACAATTATTTTTCTGTCGGTTATAGATTTTTTTCTAAGAAAATTTAAAGGATCAACTTCAATTAAAATTTTTCCCCCGGTGTCTCTGCTGATGGATATTAGTTGATAAGAAATTCAAATTTATTTTTTTTATTTGGTTGCAATTTTTTTTTTTACTTTTTTATTATAAGTTCTCTAAATGTCCATATTATATTTTTTCTGTAATCTTTAAAGCTCCAATCATCAGGTTTGAGGTTTAGTTCAAACTATTTCAGTGGTTTTTACTCGCAGCTGTCCACCTTCGTTAAAGACTACATTCATGTCGCGTAAACTACGTCATCAACAGGTGACCCGCTCGCTGCTAGCTTAGTTTAACTTGTTCCGAGTGTCTCCCTGAAGCCACTTTGGCTCCTTTTTATGAGCTAATTTGCTGGTAAGATGTCGGGAAAAGGTTGGACCGTCGCTTCTCCTCCACTTCCCAGCAGAAATGCGAACTAAGACGCCGGAAGGAGTCCAGGATGTGGAGAAGTTTGTCTTTTCTCGCTTTGCTTTGGGGCGTGAGTGAAACTTCCGGCTCCTCTGTGATCACAGCGGAGCTGAGAGAACCGCAGAGAGAGCTGAGAAAGTTCTGGAGAAGCACCGGGTTCTGGTGAGTCACACTGGGTTCATGCATCTTACTACATTAAAGCGGTTCATGTTAACGCTGCTACTAGCTGGAGCGGCGCGCATGCGCAGATCATTGAAAATATAAACACGTGACGTATGTCTACCCGGAAGTCGAGTGCTGCTTGTTTGTTTATTTATTTTTTTATTTTATCGACGGTATTACAACTTAAATAACAGTCAGGTGATAAGAAATGTTTTAAAAAATTAGACTTAAATCAAAATATGATGAGACAAAAGTAATGTGAACATAAAGCAGAAAGGAAAATATAGATAAAAGGATAGACTAACAAATTAATTATGAGTTCATGTTTGTTTGTTTTTCTTTCAATTATAAAAAGAACAGTTCTTTTAAAAAAATAACTTTTATATATTTCCTTTGTAAATGAATCAATGAATCTTATATTTGGATACAGACAGCATTAATAGATCATGCTGATGGTTTTCTTTTCCATCGCTGTTCCAAAAAAATGCCATTTCTGACATTTTGAATTGAAAAAGCGTCTTTGATGGGAAGAGAAACGTCTTTAAACTTGGGAAAAGTCCAGTGGATTGTTTTTTTTTACTTTTTTTGGAATGACTGTGACCTGGAGGTCTGAGCCTCCTGCACAGGAATCTACTAGTGTCCTTGTTTCAGAGCCTTTGGGAACTGGTCATTCTCCTTGTTTTGCAGCCCTCCTCTTCCTCACTCCCAGGCCGACCAGTTTGACCTGAGCACCGACCAGCAGCTGAATTTGGCCTACGTGGGCTCGGTTCCTCATGGAGGGATCCAGCAGGTCAGGATCCACTGGATGCTGGAGCTGATCTCCACACAGTAAGTCCACCGCTGAGCAGAAGTCAAACTTGGTACCTTAGAAACCAAAGAGGTGAGCAGAAATAAGACGGACGTCTCTTTGTTTTTCTGTAGAGATGTTGGGGGCAAACCTCAGTATAACTTCACCAAACTGGATCAGCTGATCAACCTCCTGTCAGTTAATGGACTTCATCCAGGTGCAGAACAGACATGTCCAAATGGAGGCAAACATTTGTAAAGTTTTCCGATGTTTTAGGTTTGTTGTTTTTTTTTTTTGGTCCCCAGGTTTCGAACTGATGGGCAGCGTCTCCAACTCCTTCACAGACCTGGAGGATAAAGCCCAGGTGGTGGAATGGAGGAATCTGGTTTACCTTCTGGCCAAGCGGTACATCGGTGAGGAAATGAAGGAAAAGCTCCTCATGCAGGCTGTAAGCATGGTGGAGAAGGTGTGATGCTGTGGGCTGGTGTTCTGTCAGACCAGCATACCTATAGTCAGTATGCATGCGCAAGACGTCAGGTTTGCATTTATCCCTTTAGTTTTGTATGAAAAAATAGACTTTAAACTACGTCAAAGGGCTTGTATCCATTTAGTTGTGTACAAAAAACTATTTAATAAGAAGATTTTTCTCTGGGCTTCAGCAGCGATTATATTAAATTCTATTTATTTTATTTATATATAAACTATAGCAACAATTCACATCATGTCATCTCAGGTCACTTTCCAGTTCACCAG